CACCTTTCTTTTTTGTGGTGGTTACTCTTTTATGATACCTCTAATCTTCGGCCCTTATGACCTAATTATTGTACTACAAGTGCCGTAAAAGGTTTACTAAAACACAATACACGCCCGGCTTCAATGGGGCAATGGCTATTAGAAACTGTTCTCCGTTGTAAGCAAAAAAGACATGAGTTCCATTGTCGTGCGAGGAAGGCTGTCATTTTACAGAGCATCTCTGCTTAGCCAGGGTTGACCCTGACAGTCAAAGTCTAAGCAGCCCGCCTCCTAAAAGAGCTCACGTGTGTTTATCGGGCAGTAAACCATTTTTTATGATTTGAAATAAAAAATTTAAAACCCGTCTTATTTTATAAACCGTTTATAAAAGTTTTGAGTCTAACTGGGGTATTCAATGCCCACTGCGCAAAACGTTGATCTCAGGCATTCTATTTATTATGCAATGTATATTTATCTATGGCAGCTTCTCCTTCCGCTGTGGTATCTTCCACTGCCATAAATAATATTATTGCCCGGTGTTCCATCTGTCGCCCACAAGAAAATTTTAACAAAGTCAGGTTTGGTTTCATAACATGGTGTGTGGAGGCGGTGACGTCACCCGTCTGTCCTGACCGTAAAGTCTTTGACTTTGATGCGGGAAATCAAAGTTTAGTTGATTGTTTATTAACAGCGAGATGAAGGAGGACGTGCTGTTTTTGGTGTATGGTTTGTTTTGTTTTGTTATGTTGGTTAGTAGTAGTAGTAGTAGTAGTAGTAGTAGTAACAGTAGTAGTAGTAGTAGTAGTAGTAGTAGTAGTATTGTCATTGCCATTATTAGGTCTATTATTATCACATTATTAGTATTATTGTCATCATCATCATCAGCAGCATCATCATCACCATAATCATCATCATCATCATCATCATCATCATCATCATCATCATAATCATTATATATTATCATCATTATCATCTTCATGAACTTAAAACTGGGTAGGGGAATTATGATGATTATTTCTGCAGTTGTTGTTATCATCATCAGTAGTGGTGATATTATTATCATTATCATCAGTATTATCATTATTAACAGTGTAACCGTTCCCGCCATATCTCCGTCTGGTCAGACACCAACGAGTGCCTGGAGCCGGCACAGAACGAGTGCACACACAGGTGTGTCAACACACGGGGCTCTTACCTGTGTACCTGTCCTCTGGGCTTCCGCCTGCTCAAAGACCAGCGGACGTGTCAAGGT